GGTAGAGTGCACTGTGAATAATACTACCATGTGTCCAGGATTTTGACACAACTTTACCTCCTGGTTTGTGGCCATCTCTGAGACAAGGTTGCCCAAATTCCAGGGCAGTGCAATTTTCAGAGCAGGCATTATCAAGCTACAAGACTCTTTGCTTTGAATGAAGGGCACTCATCCCGCTTACCTCTCAATGCTTCACTTCCCTGTGATCTCTCTGTCGTTAACATGGAGAGGATAAGCCTCTCAAAATCGCACTTTGCCTGAAAGGAATGTTAACTTTTCTTGCAGTATTTTTTTTTTTCTTCATCTCAAATGGTTCTTCATTTTTCACTTGTTTTGTGGTATATGGTGCCAAGTATACAATGTTGAAAGTCACTGGGAGTGAATCTCCACACAGCAGCCAAAGTGTGAAGGAGGAGGACTAGGTGGCACTGGTGGAGCTAGAGACACAGATTTTGTTTCTAGTCCTGCTGACACTTTGCTCAGTGAGCTCAGGCAAGTCACTTCTCACTGGCACCTCACTTCTCCGATCTGTAAAAATGGAGCAGACAGGGTTTCCATCACTACAAAACGTTTTGAGATGCAGAGATGGAATTCCTAGGTAAAAGCTTTTATTTGGGCATTTGTTTACAGCTGGAAAGACAGCACACTGTGATGTACCAGTGTGATTTCTCATGGAGCGGAACGAAGGAAAGCACCAGGATCCTCTGCATGTGGGATCCCTGTGGGTGGTGGGAGGCTGCTGGAGGCACCGCTGGTGGTGTCTCCATGCTGCCTCTGCTGTGCCCTGACCTGGTGAGGAGGACTTGTGGGAAGGTGGACCTCCACAGCACTCCTCTCAGGGAGTACAATTTCATCAGGGGCAGGGCTCAACTGGCTGTTTCAAATCGCAATGGGGTGAGTACCTCACCAGAAGGCCAAGACTGACCAAAAAGGGGAGGGTAAATATTTTCCCTAAATGCTCCATTTTTACTAACCAATAGAAAACCAATTCTGTTTTGCTTCAAAGCTTTGCTGAATTTTGTGGGCTTTCTCCTAAGAGGAAAGGATGTGTCTGGGCAGGGTTTTGTTTAATTTTTTCCAAACTGAAAATTACTACAGGAATCAAGTCCTACTGTTTGTGAAGTAGTTTCACAGTGAAAATAGCCAGTCAGCACTGATTAATAGTATTGAGTCAGGTTCTTGCTTTTGCCTGCAGTAGAAACAATACTTATCATTGTGTCTCTAGGCTGAGCCCAGACTGAAAGACCTTTTTCAAATACTGGACTTGATCATGCTCTCTGAAATCAGTAGATGGGCCACTTGTGTAATTAGACCACAAGATAGCCGATGAAGAAACTGAGAAAGACGTGTGAAGGAGTTGGCTCGCAGCTGAAGCAGCACCTGGTATCAGGATGTGGAGTAGGACAAAGCCGTGCTGTGATTGAGCCTTCTGCTTTCAAACAACGCCCTGCTTTCTCCAGGGCAAGTACAGTACACGCCAGGCGAGCTCTGAAGGATATCCAGTGGTTCCCAGATTTTAGTCACTTTTTTTCTGAAGGTGCCCTCAATGCCTATATTGACTTGAAGCTAAACTGCATTTAATGCCTTCTTGTTGGGAACGCCCGTTGTCAACAATGGGTCATTTTTACAGTCTAGACAATGCTGGTGTCATGATGAGAAACAAGCGCTTAGATATGTGTGCGATGGTATATGCCATTGAGAAAAAGCACTTGAGTTAATTCCAGTAAATCTCTGATTCAAGGGATATTGCAGCAATGATTATTCCACATTTAAAAAAAATTATATGGGCTGCTCTGTTTTTGAAAACCTACACATTTTTTCCTCTATTAAATTGCTTCCTGGTGATGGAAATGTCTGAGATTTTTTTCTACTGCATCTACTTTCCTTTAGCTTGCACACCCCTGAGGTAATTAGTGTAGGTTAAAATTTACATAACTGACTTTGGGGTTTTGCAAATAGGAAAGATGGAAATTTATTCAAGGTGGTGAATAATTCATTTTAAAGCAAGTTTCCTGTTTTTTTTAATCATGTAGAAGATGTATTACAGACTCATAGAGATTTTCTGAATAGGACCCTAAGCATTAAATTTTTGATATATTTTATTTCCTAGTGTAGGTAAAGAAATATTAACCATGACTCATTGCACTTTTCCTGTTCAATAAGATTTGAATAAACCTAACAAATTTATTAGGTAGATGATAGAGCTTTTTAAAAATTATCATGACACACTGTGACAAATATTTTACTAGGATCCAGAAGAAATAGTTTTAAATCATATTCCCATTGCCACTTCAGAGGCAGAGAGATGGAAAACAGTGCAGTTCATACAGAGAACCCCAATTCACATTTTCTTTTGAATATTCATTATTTAATTAAGATTAGGAAGATAAACAAGGGGATTGGGTAGCTATGGGAGTCTGGTAATATAATCAATTTTTTAAAAAAAAATTTCTCTACTTCTGGCTCGATGTAAGCCTGGACTGGAAATGTCTGAATGTTGTTGTAATATTATGGCTACTCGATATTTTACATGAAGTGAGTTTTCTATTTCATGTTATTTCTTAATCTAAGTGCCCACCTCAGAAAAATAGGTATTCCAGGCATCACCAAGGGTTGGACCCAGGAGACAAATTATGAACCAAGCCCTCCTGCCTTCTGAACTTTAGCTTTAACTGCTTCAGCCCAACTTTAAACCCCTTCCCATCTGCCACTAAACTCTAGAAATGCCACATGTCTTTCGGTTAGTAGTTTTTATCATTAAACTTTCTCAGGGACTTTGAGCTCTCTTGCTGGGCACCCTCCCAAATGCCCCAGCCACGGCAGGCTGACTCCTGAGTCTCACAGGGGTGATGAATGTTGCTCCTTGGTCCTTGCTGCTGCTGGGATGGGTCCTCTACACCTGCAAGAGCATGTCCCCGCAGGGCAGCCGAGGAGGAACAACCTGCCCTTTCTCTTGACGCGTTCCCCGGTGGCTGCAGTCCCCAGTGGACTGTGGGAAGTGTCGTGGGGGGGGTGTCCAATCACCCTAACCAGACAGCTGCCAGCTCTGCTGGAGCAGAGCTGGGACCGGAGCCAGCTCCCAGCCCTTCCTGGGGAAGCGGCATAGGTGGTGATTCACTGGGCCGGGGAAAGAAAATCAGTGCCAGCGTTTGTGGGAGTGGGAGAGAAAGAAAAATGAGCCCCAGTCCCTGCCCCAGGGACTCCTAGTGCGCTTCAGCCCAGAGCTGTGCAGGAGCAGGAAGGCTTGGTTCCCGCTAACCAAAGAGCAGTGGTGGAGGGAGCATTGCCCATGACACAGCTGCCACACGGAGAGCTGGAAGGTCTCGCTTTGAGCTAGTTTGGTCATGTCACCTTTGTAATCATGTATGTGTGATGCTTGAGCAGGGCCTGGAGGATTTATTGTATCCATCTGAGGCTCTCTTCTGGGACTACCAACAAATCATACTGTACTTTAAGGCAACCATGTTGTCTCTGCTTTAATTTTACAGGGTTTAAACAAGTTACATTAAAAGCTACTCACACAGGCTTTTGTAATATGTTTTTGTAGTCTGTTTTTATACTCTGATAATATTCATTTTGGAAATAAGCAGGATGCTTTGCAAATAATTTTCCCAATGCCTTAGTCTTCAACAGAGATTCCTAAGCTTCCTTGAAAATGGCCAGATATTTGTGAAAAAGTTTAGAGATTTGGAAGAAAGGAGAGACTTCAACAGCCAGATATGGAGCCTCTGATGGGGAATTTTTCTCCATTGACTATTACATTGTTTCCCTACCAAAATGTTTTTTGGCTTTGAGGCTTGATGAAAGTGGAAGTGCAACATAATTTTACACAGTTTAGATGACAGTATATGGTATACAGTAGCAAGCCTCCTTGTATATTGGTAGTGTTGCATGCACATTTTATGATGATCTCAGGGATGCCAGTAGGAAGCACGAGATATGCCCTTGAACATTCAGCGAGATCTCTGAACGTGCAGGTCAGGGAGAAGAATTTTGTTTTCCTGAGTCTACAACCTGGGTTATTGTTTTCAGGTTTTGCACAGAGAACACAGTCCAAAAAGATGTGGATGCTGGCTTCTTGATGGACTGACTTTTTCAGCTTGCTGTGCAAGAGTAAAATAACTTGAGGCCCTCCAGCTTCGTGCTAGAAAGCTGCAGAACTGCAGGGGGAGAGGACTGCTCATGCAAGTTAGCCTCCTATGCGTTGCCACATCGAAAAATGCCAGTCCCTCTTACCAAATATTTAAAAACAGCTGTGGTGATACAAGGCCTCAAAACCTGGAGTAGATTTGAAGTGGGGCATGTTGTGGGCTCTCTGCTAGTCTATGACTAACTGTTTTGCATGTTCTGTTTTGTTGTGCGTGTACAAACACACTTATACGTGCATATATGTATGTATGCATATATATGACTGTTAGGTGTAGTAAAAATAAGGACTGTAGGGCACTACCATGCACAAATATACATTGTAACAGTCAAGCTTTTAAAATTAGATTAGAGCTCAGTTTCCCTTGGAAATAATGGAGTAAACATATGGAAAAATATATGGGAAAAAAGTTATGGAAAAAATAATGGAATAGAGTAATGATGGCTGAAATTCTTAATTGCTTCTGAAAACCTTCAACCAGAAGACCTAAGGCAAACCTTTGAAAAATTGCACTTCTATAGCTTTTATTTCCATGTTCTTTCTGTACATTCGGAAACAAAATGTAGTTTTTTTCTTTTCTTTTTTTTTTTTTTTTGGCATGTGGGACTCAAAGCACCACAAGGAAGTCTCTCACCATAAGAAACAAAAGTTGCGAGACAGGATTCATGAACTCTTTCAAAGGTATGTCAGATAAGGGCTACTTTGTACTTCTATCCAATGTGCTTTCCTTCCAAAGGTCTTTCAGTGCTTTACAGATATTAATGAGTGGAACTTCTCCCAAACAAAGGACCTCAGGCCTAGAAAAATTAAGCCTGTGCTTTTGAAAGAGACCTCTGTTTTGGATACCTCCGTTTTCAGATACCCAGCTTGGGCTGTAATTTTTAAGTGCTACACACAGTGCACTTCAAAAGTTGACCAAATGGCTTCTCCCAGCACCCTTCATCCCTGCCTCTGAATTACCCTTAGAGAGTGAAGGAAATATGAATTGGAGTAATGTTTTTGTGATCAAGCTATAGGCGACCTTCAGATAAATACATGCATCAAATTATCTGTAAAGAAATGAATGGAGGAAATAAATAACCCTTGTGGATACAGCCAAGGAAGCTATGTTCTGCTGTGACAGCTGATGAGCATGCTGGTGAGCATAAAAGAGGCCTAACTTAACGGAATAAACTATTCTCTTGAATCTAATACCCAGCAAAAGGAGGGAAAGGAGAAAATTGATGCAACCCGAAAAGAGATCAAATGCGGTTATTTAAATGTTTGATGTTCAGTAATGAAAACTGTTTACCTTCATAATTGTGTATTAGCAGCTAATAAAGGCAATAGATACAGTAGTTTAAAAGTAATAAAATCAACAACAAAGTGTATTTAATTTTAAATTGAATTGCAAGCAAATGGGTGTCCTAATGAACCCCTGTGTCAATGCAGCTCTAACCAAATTAAGTGAAATAATTTCCATCATGAGAAACTAAATAAGTACAAAGTTCCAAACAGACCATTCTTCTTGAGCAGAGAAGTTAACTTCTCAGATGTTTCAGCTCTACAAATTAGCTAGAGACATTCAAGAAGCATCTTCTGTTACTTCCATTTAGGACAACTGGACCCAAGTTGACTTGACTACAGCTCAAGGATAAAACCTCATAGGTGGTTGACCTTGTGCTTCTTGTATTCAGTCTTTAGCACTAAAATTTTGTCCTTAGTTCTCATTGGTCCCGGCTTGGGCAAAATTCCCAGGTATGTCTTGGGGACGAACATCTACACAGACCTTCCAACCGATTTAGCTATTGCCTGGGCATTTACATGAGGCAATTCTACTGGTAGAGGAATCTGGAAAACAGCTTGTCTATGCACCAGTGGTAATTTTACTGCTGTAAATGTCAATATATGTTTCTTTAAAAAAAAAAAAAGGAAAAAAAAAAAAAAGGCATAGTTCTGAGTAGAAACTGATTTGTAGCAATATGCCAGGAACTTGGAGACAGTCTGGGAAGTTTAGCATGATTTGCAGAGTCTCTGTAAATAGTTTTCTTGATAAAGAACCATGTTAATTGTACAAATGTGGAGGCTTCTCACATTATCACCTAGAATGCAAAGGAGGAAAAGGAATGAAGGGACTGGAATTGAATTTTCCAAAAGCAAGTCAGAAAATACTGAAAGAATGCTTCAAAAGTGCAGTCCAGGGAAATGTTTTGGGGTTGGTTTTTTTTTTTTTTTTTGAATGAACATCAAATTTTAGCATTTTCTTTTGTGGCTAAAAAATTAACTGAATATGTGGCTTGGTAACCTAAGAGAGCCTGTCCTCTGATTGCCTGTGTTGTAGATGCCCAAGCTAATCCTGAATTGCAACTGTACCTGATGCAGTGATTTCTCCTTGGTCCATATGACTCCTCTCAGTACATTGTAGGCAGCTCCCTTGACCTCCAGGGTGGCACGTGGCTGGCCCATGGCCACAAACAGCCTGCTCAGCCCCCAGCTCCTGAGAGCCGCTGTGTCTTTCTCTGTGCTCTGCTACCTGCCCCAGCTCCACCTGCAAGTGTGGCTGGAGCATCACCAGCACTGGTGTGGCTGACCGATCCTTCCCAGCCTTTTAAAGTGGGTTGTGGAAGCAAGAGCTGAAGTGTTTTGAAGCCAGCAGAGCGTCTACAGATGTTTTTACTTAGGGCCATTTCTATTTAGATACTGGTGCTGAGTAGGGACAGAGGAATTGCTCACAGTTCTGTGTCTGTTGAAAGACAGGATGGTATTGCTAAAGGATACAGCTTTATAGTGCTTATTGTAAATGTCTTAGTTTTGTATTTGCTCCTGCTGTGCTCTAGGAACAAGGCTTTCTCCATAGGGTACCGTGCCTTTTGTGTATCCTGTGCACTGAGTAGGGCAGCAGTGGTGTATCCAGTGTAGGGCTGTTCTTAAGCTATTTGCTGGAGTTCTGCATTGCTACAGGGACCTCTCTTTAAAAAAAAAAAAAATCTTAGAGTTGATATAATTACCCCCAAAATTACTGTAACTACACAAGAAGTTAACATATGAATGCCAAGGAAGGTTTAATGGTTCACATACAGCTGAAAATTTCTGTATGTGTGTGTGTATATATACATGTATATATGACTTATATAGTTTATATATATAGTTTTTGGTATATATAAAATAAGATCTTTTAGAAGATTTATAAATTATATAAGATTTATATATAAATTTATAAGTTTTTTTGGGGGAAAAAAAAGGGTAAGATTTATATATATAATAAGACTTTTTCAGTGGTTTAAAGCAACCTAGTCCCCAGGGAACCAATGGTTTCCAAAAACCCATTCCAGTTTATTGAAGCTGTCAGTTGGTCCTGAAAGTGTGGACAGAGGCAATGGCTTCCTCCTTTAATATTCTTAACCTAGAACCCAAGCCCCAACACTGAGCTGATTATACATGGGCAGTGAAACTTTGGGTTCCTTATGTCGACCTGTGGCACAGACTGACAAATGTTGGTCGTGTTACTGGGACTGTAACTGCATTTTTCGTGTGCCGCTTTTTGAAGCCTAGTCATTTCTCTGCTTAGCACCTTGTTTCTCCTCGGTGCCCTGCGAAGTTTATGATATATTCAAGGAAAACATTGAACTGCGATGTATTTCCAATGGTGAGTACTTTCTGTATCTGCATTGTAGTTAATTTCTTTTCAGTTCTTCTTCTCTGTTCCCTTTCTAACTGCTGCAGAGTGGGACGTCAGCCATTGAAAGCAGAGGAGAATGAATGTGAAGAAGAAATGGTAGCCAGCTTCGGTAACCTTGCAGATGTGAATACTGGATTAAATGGAGCAGCAGGACCTTGTGGGAAGGTGAGGTCCTCCATGAGTGCTCTTTTCCCTGATGCGAACTGCTAAATGACTAGATCAATTGCATTGCATTATTATTTCTTTTTCTTTTCCTTTTCATAGTTTAAGAGGATAGAATTTAACAGGTTTCAAAATATGCTTTCCAGCAGAAGTAACCATACGCTTAAAGAGAATGTCTAAAGCTATTAATGATGAATCATTTGGGCATGGCAAGAGTTCTTCAAAACAGTTTGTCAGTGCTGGCCAAGCAAAGTCTTTCAGCAGGCGGCGAGAC